AACGTAGTATAGTCCTAACAAAATAAACACAATCTATTTTGCCAATGATTCTAAACGGGAAATTAGGCCCTTTTTAAAGCTATTAAACCCTGTCAAAGGAAGTTCCTTCGATTTCTAAGGAGAACATTAAATCGATGGTAGCCTAACTCTTCGACTGTCAATCTGAATGCAACAACATCAAACTCATGACTAATAATCAGTCAGGATTGCCTTCCAAAAAAGCTCTGCCAGTGTACACAGCACTAGTCTCGTCTAAGATCCAAGTTGCACATCTTGCAACCTTACGAAGTATGTTAAGAAACGTATACAGATATTCACAAATACAATGTTAACCGTTGCAGCAGAGTAGTGTCCTCAACCAATTCTCAATGTCATTTGTAATGAATGCGTCCGTCTGCGAATGAGCTTTTATTCTACTACTAAGGAGTTCATTAAGGTTAAGGCAATGAATCCTTCCCTCTTCCAGAAAATTATAGCTCTCAGCGATAACACTCCGTCATATTTTTGACAAGTTAAATTTAATCCCTCTCTGGAATTTCGTTGCCTATTCATGACCATCTTTGAATCGACATCTACGACAAAGCCAAATGACAATCTTTCTTGTATGAGGATTTTAAGTCAAAAAAACAAGTTCTTTATTAGAATAAAAGCTATGATACGTGTGCCACTGGCGGATCAGTCAAGCATAATGTATCTAGCTGTTCGGTGTTCGAGCATCTATCTGAAACAGTGCACAAAATCAGAATCATGGAGGAACTTTCTTCGAGTTTTATTGAATTGCCCGCCGTCAGACATGCTCTAAAGGTAGCTATAATGAATTTTTTGTGATAGTGTGTTAACTCTGCTTCTAATAAATAACAGAAATACAGAAAGTCAATATGTGCTCGATATACATAGGATGTTGTGTGAATCTTAAATGGATGACTGTCGCCTTATTTGGATGCTTGGTCACTGGTACTTTTTTTAACGAAAAGCTGATTTTCATGCAAAAAGACCTCAATTTGATCTTACAATTCTGTCCATCAAATGAACTCTCAATGAAGCAATACGGGCAATGTGATATCACGTCTTGCAGCAACTAAACGGCGTATTTTAAGAGATTGCCAAATTGTGTACAAAATTTAATTGCATTTTCTATAAAATAAATTTCATCTTTAACTTTCAACCACTCTCAGAGGTTTCCTTTAACTCCTACAAAATCAAAACACCTTGCAGACCGATGATTGAGCAAACTTATGATGAAGTATTTTTCAAAATGTTTCGTGCTACACGATGCGATATTTGTGATATACGTGTTACCAGAATGTTTAAATATTTCCGCAAGTAATTTTTTCGAATGTATGGTTTGTCTAATAAGCCATTCAATTTCTTAAGTAGCAATTGTTTTTGCAGAATCATTGATAGCATAAACATCTACAATAACGGCTATTAGAATATTTTTATGGTAGCAGTTTATCAGGCGTCTAAAAAATAAGCATCAATAATTTCAACACATAATTGATTGAATTCCTAATAACAAAATTCAGTCAAGCGAACAACCAAGTAATTAAGTCCAACAAAAAGGTAACTCGATTAATAAACAGAAACGTAAAATTACGAAATAAAGTTTTGAAGTTGCGAAATCATTCTAAGTCTTAAGCTCAAATGAAACTTAAAAATTACAACATTTGACCGTAGCCTTAGATATTAGTGCTTTAAATCTTTAGTTTTAGAATTTATTTCTCTGGCCAAATTAATAATAAAAACAGCATTTGGCACGATGATGTTACACAATCTACAACAAATCCTTCTACCGTACCAAGTACTTGCACCAAACTAGTTTCTTATTTAATAAAAAGCGCATCAGTTATTACCAAATCCAATACCAACTATTACCACGCGCGAGAGAGTAATTCATAATAGAAAACACACCAACTTATAAAACCTACTTTTCCATTCCTACTCCAAAGTCAGCTAAGGACACGTTTGTGATCCTCAATTCCAAACAATTATTTACCCCAAGAAATGATCTACGTCGACGCCTGCACATCATTACATTCATAGCACTAAACATATCCTGAAAGTCCAATATCCAACCCAGGGAAAACTGTAAAACAGTACAGTGGAACGCAGAAGCCTTCATAAATATAATAATATGATAACTTGGACGATCTTCAGTTGCTAACGACTTGTTATATCACTTCAACAAATCTATTTATCTCTTCTCCAATCTAGAGCATGCAGAGCATAGAGGTCCAAATTAATCCAAATAAAAAATGGGCGGTGTTCTCTCTCTATGTCTGCCCCGCGCAACCGTTCTTTCTGCAGCAATCTATTTGTAGTTCTCGGCATTAGGTTTACGCCCAACAAACCTCGCCTTCCACTAAAATAAGTATAATTCTTTCGATCAGAACCGTCGCAAGCACCATTACGCAGTAGAAACCAAGACTTCGTTCAGGAGATATGTATCCAATTCGGTAAAATACGGTCATCGAAAATAGTATATGTATATCCTATTAACATATGCGCTAACTATTGTCACAATTGAAAAGTCATTCAACAAAACGACAACAAGATAACCTGGTTTATGTTCCATTAAACCATCCATTCATTATTACTATCTGCAAGAAAAAATAAATTACTGGACTTGCACAATATCGTATGTTATAGTGGTGACATGCTAAAGACATGGAAATACTCCCCCACCCCCATTCTTCTCCATTTCTTTTGCCATCTCGAAAATATTGGAAGGTACAGTGACATCTATATTGTTATGGTTTCTTGAATTAAATCTTAATTACAAAAAAAAAAAGGAATTTGAAATCCAGTAGAGCATCAATGCCCTCCTGCACATCGACTATTCTATCACCTTAGGTCTATACCTGATTGTGCAATGTCAGATAAATCATATTCTACACGAAACTGTCTTATATTCACAAGCAAAGCTGCAACCATTTTATGATCACTAAACATTCACATAAAGGTAAATGCAAAGCTGTTATCGTTGCAAACCCACTTTCGGTTTCCATTGGGTAATAAAAGTTATTCGATTCACTCCGCAATTAGATGGAACTTCGTTGAAAAAATAGTATATACCCGAATTGCTTATGACAAAAGCTCAAAATGCTTCGCTTGGTAAATCATTCTCATTAATATATTTGTGAAAACTCGCTTGAATCACACAATCCAAAAAACACATCAATAGATTTTTAAGAACTCCGTTTTTCATATTTGCAATTAAAAAGATGTTATAATCAAACACGCGCAGCGTAACTACCTAGACCTCTCCTGAATTCGAAAGTCATCATGTGAAATATAGAACAATCAAAATTTTATTTTTATCAAAATAATTAGACCACATATTGAAGCATGCAGAAATTTTACGCACGCAACTGGCTGATACAACTGCTTTATCTGTATGTGCAAAGTGGTGGTCGGCACAAGTTATGTAGGAAAGGAAGTTGCCGGCCGACATTACGGGCACTTTCGTATGTGTATTAATACTAAAATCTTGCAGGCAGCATTCGTTCCAATGGGAAAGTAATCTGATACAATCGAAATTGCTGCATATTTATAGAAAATGATAGAATAGGTTTTTCTTCCTAATCCCTTTGATAACAGTGTTGAACAATACAGTGTGGATGGTAGCAAATAGAAATAGACAAACTACTGTCATTGGACATTAAATACAGCGGGCTCCACGAAGTGACGAAATATCCCTTGTCTTTTATTATATAGTTATACCCTACGTCATTTGTGATACAGAGTACGTTAAATTTATGCGGACATACGTAACACCCACAAGAGCTTAAGACAAACCTACCTCCTTTTATACCGACGCCTGTCTATTCATTTTATGTCTGTCCTTATAAATTGTGTTCCATCTACAGGTCGAAATCGTTGAGATATTTTGATGACATTTGGTGAACTGGCGTGTTATGACCCAAGAGCCAACCTTTGAAAGCGGTTCGGATCGGGCCAATTTTCGACCGCTCGCCACACAACGCCTTATTTTACAAAGTATTTCTATGAAAATTTTCAAATTTTTTGACAAAATTCGCTGTGTAATAGTATCTCTAGATTTTAAATAGGCATGAAAAATTTGTTTCCGCTAGCACAATTTTTTGAGAGCCCTTTGATATAAACGTTTCTGCGAACATAGAATTTTTAAACGATAACAAGTTCTAAATTTCAATATGTCAGGTGAAAATTGATTCATAAGAGTAAACTGGCGAATAGTTGTGTTAGCCGAATTGGTATAGAGTATTTAATGGTCGGCCTTGCTCGACTATAATGTTCTGCTTGATTTATTAATAAGATCACTGGAAGGCTTGCATTTAGGGAGAAGTGGACTATGCAAAGCTAACTGCGAAAAAGGCTGTGATGGAGTGCTGGCAAAAATAAGCAGAATAAGGCTTTTAAGAAATAGGTAAATCGAATTGTAATAAACTAAAAATTAAAAAATAAATTGTATAAAGCAAGTCTTTTTAAATAAGAGTTTATTTAAGCAAACCAAAGGATGGAAAATAAATTTTGTCCGGATCACTTTTAGTCGACTTTACAAAAAGGCCTACGACGCTTAGGACTTTAAAATGTAAAAAATATAAAAAACTCACCAAACTTTTAGTTTCATAACAGTAACTAGAGCAAATTATATTTTCCACTTTTCCGTTCACCTAAATAGACATTTGGTAACTTATTTTTTCGTTCAGCCTAAGAATTCACTTTGTTCAATTGTAGTAAGAACAACTGTAAATGGTTAAACTAAGAAGAAAAAAAGAATAATTTAACGAAACGATAAACTGCTATCATTATTTAAGATTATTTTCATGTGAAATTGAAGAATTAAGGATCGAAAAATGTACACTTAACAGACTAAAATAATTTTAGCTAGCAATGTTTATTATATTAGGCAAATTGCGTCAAATCTATTATTTGGTCGATGCTAAAAATTTAATCGATTCTTGACCCATTAAAAAATACGTAGCTAAATGATTAGAAAAAAAACGGTAATTTGAGAGGCTTTAGTTTAGTTGGTTAAATATATTTCAGATTATTAAATATATCTTACATTTATTATATTTCTACTTCCTTAGAAAACTTACGTCAAAAATAGATTTCCTTTTCTTCAGTTTGACCGTGCTTTATTGCTGAGATGGTTGTAGCTGGTGATGAAGATGTTGATACTGAAGAGGTTGAGGATGCGCTGGCTACGATGCCTTCACGTAAAATTTTGGTATTGTCCGCCGCATTCGGCGCTATAATTCTACTAGAAGCAGAATTACTTGTATTGGTATTAGTTCCACCGCGTAAAAAACAACGTTGATCGTAACTATGAACAGAATCACCGATTACATGCAGCGAAGTGTTGTTTATATTCATTTGAGTTTGAACTTGTTGAATAATAGCAGGTGAGCTACCAGTACGTGCGTGTTGGGATCCTGTTTGAGGAGTTATAGGACGTTTATCGGCCAATTTCAGTGGAAATATTTGGGTTATTCCAGCTGACGAAATTGTGGAATGTGAACTGTTTGCTAATGGTGCGGCAATTGAATTAAAATTCATCGATTTATCCACTTTGTTGGGCGAGAAAGAACTTGCACTACTTACGGCTACAGATGAAAGAGATGATAATTTTATCGGGATTTGTTGTTTTACAACGTTAGATTGTACTTTTGGGGCGTTAGCAGCACTCAATAGATTGACTGGAGGAGCTTTGGATATAGTTGAAGCAGTACGCCATTTATCTTTGCGACGGTCGACTGTATTTGAATTTGCTGATGCTACGGTAGTTGATCCTACAGTATCCACTGAAGTCGTAATTGTGCTATCATTAGTAAAATCAGTACCCTCAATATCCATAATACTGCCTGTTGTTAATTGCACTAAAGGACTAGATAGCATTAAAGGTGTATTCGGTGATAACAACAACCCCTGATTAGATAGAAGCTCCATCTTACGATACAATTGCTCACGTTGTTGTTTAATGTCTTCTTGTTCCATTTTTATTTGCTCTTGTATTTTATCTAAAATTTGCTTCTTTTCAGCCAACTCTTGTTCTTGATGTTCCTTTTGGCGCATCCACAAGGTTTTTTCTTCTTGTAATTTATCTTGCAGATTACGTAACTCTTCCAGCTGGTCGTTGTGCGTATTAGGGGCCTTTGGATTTTCTCTATACAGAGCCCACTGCAATTGAAGGCTTTGAATTGCAGTCATCTGTTGTGAAATTATGCAAAGCAGTGTGTGCAAATTATGGGTAATTTGCAAAAAAGCAAAGTTGTGATCTTTGGTATCGTTGATGTAGCTACCGCTACTTGCCGAACTTTCTAAATTATGTTCGGCAGATAACGTAAATAGATCGGTTGCATGAGAGGAAGGTGATAAGGGCAAGGCCGTAACTGAAGTGTTTTTTAAGCTCTTTTTCTCTTCTAATTCCTGCAGGCGAGGAGTCATTATTTGTAATGTATATTTGTTTATATCACGAGAAGTGAAGGTATTCTTGGCCCGCTTCTCATCAAACCCTGCAAAGGTTTCTGCTCTTTTAGGTAGGGTAGGTGACAAATACGTCTCGCTTTGCTTCTCCCCCACTGAACTAACAGAACGAGATACTGGTTGACCTGTGGCTGCAGTGTAAACAGAACCGGCTAACTGGCTTATTTCTTGAACTGTAGTCAACACTTTCTTCCATACCTCACTTGTATCGCAATCAACACCGACACTGATGTCTTTATAAGATCCAAAGGCTGCCAAAAATTGGGCAGCATTCATATTTGTAACTGCGTTGGACTGTTGCTGTTCTACGTCATGAGAGGTGAAAAGTTTTTGATCGTTTTGAATCAAATTTAAAAGCAAAATAATTTTTTCTTCTAGCAGCAAAGCCTGTTCAATGTCTTTTTGGCGCATTTTTTCGATGATCTCGCGCTTATTAACACCAATACGTAACTTTTGCTCGACTGTGTAATCCTCTGCTTCGATTATATCGCTTAGAGGGCAATCTCGTACGGCTCGTCTAATCGATTCTATCCATATATTTTTATCCTTAGGTTTCTGAATTTTCAGTTCATACATTTGAACTGGATATAAGGGGTTTGAAGAAATAATGTAGATGCCACGAGACTCAGTCCCAGCTTTTTCGCGAATTAACAACTTCTGTAAAGGCACTACACCGGCCTTATGTTCGGGCGTAAAGAACATATACTTGTTGTGAGCGGAATTCTCAGTAAGGAAGCACAAACAATCAGTTAGTACCATTACTAAAACCGACTGTATCTTTGCTCGCCCCTGCATCAGCGTAGCCGAGCCTTCGAACTTCAGCCGCCGACGCGATTCGACGGCAACGTCGCTTTTTCGGAAGGGCTTATTCTTATAAATTGCGAATGATTTATTGTCAATGCAATTACAGATGTCAATTTGACGGTCCCTTAATTCCTTTTCATCTACGCATGCATTCACATCAAAAAGCAATTCTTTGACTAGAGACAAAGCCTCTTGTAACTTTTTTGTCTCCAGTTCGTCATCACGGGCACTCTTGAGCAAAGGATCTATCAAGAGCGGGTATTTAGTTAGACGTTGTGTAACAAACAAGATGCACTCTGGAATGCCTTTTTTCTTTAGTAATTTATTTGTTAGGCAATGCCTATACCACGCTAAAAAATCTTGGTTTGTCTCGCAGGACTTATAGAGTTCTAAAGCTGTTCGATAATTAGCACAAAATTCACCGTAGGCCAAACGCAAACGAATCTTCTCCAAGGAAAAGAAATCCAATAATATGTTAGCTATGCTGTCAACAACATGCTGTTCCCTTTGTTTAAGACGCAATTTCTTTAAAAAGTCTGTATGCAATTCTGTAAGCTCAGTTAAGCGGGGAAACATTTTATTGCAGTTCAAGCTTGGAAAATGTCTTTCTAAACTTTCCACAAACGCTTTCTGCATAACCAACAAAGTTTGGCAATGATGTTTTTCAGTCATAATAAATTCGTAAATGTGCTCTTGACGTTTGATTTGCTGTTCTTTCATTGATTGCAATATATCTCTTGGAACACCGGGTGACCAAGAATCATGCTCTTCCAAGTCAATAGCCAACACACGATCGGCGCCTAAATCATGAGCCTCAATGCGAGCTTCATTTGGGAACTCCGATTTTATTAGCGGCGCATCTTCGCTGTAATTTGCCGTCTGATCGGGCCCATCATAGTAATCGAACATAGGACTGCTGTCGGATTTTTCACCCTTTTTATAAACACTTCCTACTTTTTTACCTTTGCATTCAAATTGATGGTCTTTTAGGGTGTTTAGATTAATACTCACACCGCACATATCACACGAAATAATCTGTCCACCAATTGTTTTCATTTTAGTTTTGTCTTTCTTTTTGCGAAAAAATAACGAGCCCCTTTTTCGACGCTTATCTACGTTATCATACACTTCAATTTTCGTATGAGCCCTTAATAGACTTTGGTTTTCATCTTCACTATCAGTTAAATGACGAGCAATTACTTTAATCTCATCTTTCGCTACAATTGACGAAGTAGAAATGCTTTTTTGTAAAGGTATACGACTTATAACATCAGCTGCCAAATTTCGCTTGCCTGCCATTCTTTCGAAATCTCGAGCCAACTCAGCCTCGTTTAATGAATGCGTGGAGATACCTAAAAATGTGAACAAACAAAAACAATGTGAATATTAAGTAATTAAAACGTTTGATCCACTATTATTTCATGAGAACGACAGATAGTTGATGCCGGTTTGAATAAATTATCTTATTATCCAAAAATTTTTCCAACAGAAATCTCCGTGTATTAAATTTTTACTTGCTTCAACTGTGTGAATCGCACCATTGCTTTTATTGATTTACTTACCTCCAGCGCTGTTACGAGCAGAACGTCGACGTTGTTCGGTCACACGAATTGCTTCTTGTTCCTCACTGTCCAAACTCGATAGGCTCATGCTCTTATTGGTGCTATCAACAACCGGTGCAAGATCATTAATAGCAGTCCACGATTTGCGGCGATCAGCGTTTACTGAACATTGCTGCGGTTGACGTTGCTGAGCCATTAAAAAGTGACATCCCAGTGAACCATTAAAAATTTTTGAAGATCCTCCGTTGTGAATAAATGAATTCAAATCTGGCAACGAAGCACTAAGAATGGAAGAGTGGACCAAACCGCAAGTGGAAAGACTATCGTACATTGGAATACTTGAGTTTTTCATTTGCACCACACTTTCACGTATGTTCTGCAATTGTGTCAATGTGTCTTCAAATATGCTGTTGTATTTGAGAGCATTTGCAGCACTGTGGTGGGTAACATTAATAGTGGGTATCATATTACTGCCAAAAATATTATTATTTAATAAATTATTCGGATGTGTGCTGCAGTTGCTGGTGCTGTAATTGAGACTTGAATTATTAACTGAGGAAAGTGTTGTTTGTGTGACTGACTTGTCTTTTGTCATAGCTTGCATTTCTTCCTTTTCCTGTGGTGGTATTAAAGAATTGCAGTCCATTTTAGCGATATTATTCTCCAAATGCGTTGCGCACGAATTTAAGTGATCATCTCCCAAGTTAATAGTGTCCGCAGCCTTATAGACGGAAGAATCATTAACATTAAGAAAATCCGTCACTACATCATTATCACTATCGTCACCAGTATTGCTCTGCAATGCGCTGTCCATATTAAGAATTGCGAATGTGTTCCCTAACACTTATACGATTATTATTTTTCACCGAATTCTAAGAAACCTTGTGGTGTAAACCACCTTTTCACTCAACTTCAGTAATTTTTTATACCTTTTAAAATACTTCTAATCTACACTTTTTTACATTTTTAAACTTCCTTACAATATTTTTTCTTTTGGATGTTGTGTTAAGACAAATCTATTACTTCTTTAACGTTGAGCAATTCTATGATTCTTCAGCAAAATTATGCATTTCTTTTTCGGTTATGGAAGTGCCAAGCTCGAAAATTCCTACATTTGTATCATATTTTTGTTATACTATTGTTTTAGTTCTACTGCACCAACTTACAGCCAACGTATCTAACGCGTACACGTACCGTAAATCACAATTGAGAAGAGAAAACTATGTAACAGCAGACAAGAAAACATTAAATAAAGAGAATACCCTAAGCACGACAACATAAAAAAAATAATTTTCAGCCTTTATTTAGGCGGATTTACTAATGCAAATAATATGCAATGATGTTTCAAGTTCACAACGAATAAACCTATTTTGCCTTTTACATTTAAAAAAATTCAGTTAGTGTATTTTGATTCCTTGTGGATAAATAAATATTGGTTCGCGTTAAATTTCGCTGATTGTCGATAACCGATTGTTGCTTACTTTACTCTGAAAGTATGTTTGTGAAACGTAAGCCATAATAACATTTTTAAATGACCCGTAAAGATAACATAATGAAACAATGACATTTTTTAAGTAACTTTTAAAATATGAAATAAATCCCCTTATCTATTCTTCATTTTTTTATGAAATATTACATTTTATGAATCAAAATGATCAAATATATAATGTAAACAAAATTGCTTCTTCTTCTGCTACTCAGCGATTCAATAACTGAAAATTCGCTGATTTGTGTAAAAAAGACTCAATGTGAACACAGAGTTCTTCATTCGAGCCTTAGTAAAGTTGGAGATAGATTTGATACATAATATTATTATTTATTTATTTTACTGTTTATTTGATTAGTCTTTTTAATTTGCATGTTATACGTCCGCGACGTTATCTATTTGTCAAGAATGCTATTGTCACGAAGACCACATAAACTCAATTTGCGAAGTGTGGGATGGCGGATAGAAGAGGTAACATTCTGCCTCTTGAATTGAAGGAACGCCTACCCCAACACACATTGTGAGCATTAAAACCATCATATATTAACGCAGATATGTCGGAGCTGAAGGCTATTAATTGCAGAAACATTACAATTAAGTGAAATATAGCAACTTATCATCAAGAGACCCTCAAAGGAAGTGTGACCTCAATATTGGCAAAACTAGAGGTGTAAGCGAATGAAAATTTATGAGATATAAGGATCTTCACACCACCGTTTCTTGCTCTTCTTATTTCGTGGTGTTTCTTGTTCTGAATATATCTTGGTTTAGGTTTCTTGTTCTTCTTATTTCTTGGTGTAGGTTTCCTGTTCTTCTTATTTCTTGGTTTAAGTTTCTTGTCCTTAAAATCTCTTGGTGTAGGTTTCTTGTTCTTCTTATTTCTTGGTGAGGGCATAATTTCAAATAATTCAGTTGTTTTTTTTTTTGATGTATTGCAAATTTTTTCTCGGCTGCCTTGCACAAACAGTAAACAGTTTCTTTTGCCTTTTAACATGATTTCGTATTGAAGTTTACATAACAATTGTTAGTGTATTTTTAAGGTTTCATTTTTGCACATTTTTACAGGGCTTTTTATCATAATTTAGTGCAACATTTAAAATAATAACGGAAATTTCTTTTTTTTTTGCATAAAGAAGATTTAAAATAAAATCAATGTATATGTCTTTTTCAATTTTTTTTTTTTATTTTTTATTTGTTGATGCCTAGTAAAAAGTTTCAATACTGAACTAAGTTAAAACTTCTGTGTACGCATATAGATTACTTTCATTTCTATCCGCCTGAGTGGCCAGTAGGCAAGAGTCTCGACTAGCAACTCAATGGTCGTGGGTTCAAATCCCAACTGCGGTAGAGTTTTTAATAAAGCCGAAAGCCTTAGATGCTAGTGCTTTTAAGAGTTTAGTTTAGAATTTATTCTCTGGCTAAATTTATAATAATAATAATAATAGTATCATTTCAAATTTTTAAATTTCAACGGCAGGCGCACATTTTCTTTATGTTCGACTCTTACATAACGTTTCGGGTTTTACATAACTAATATAAAATGACTCACTCGATTCACAGTCATCTGAGAGTAATTTAAACGCGCGGGCCTGAAATCCACCTCGATTCACAGTCATTTGAGAGTAATTTAAATGAGCGAGTCTGAAAACAAACAGGCAAACAAGAGGATGTCTATTTCTATTCACAATGGACGTTCGATAATTCGAATGTGTTACTATAAAAATTAATAATTAATCGAAGATGATTAAATATCAGAAACACTCTATCCTCTTTCTCTTTACTTTGGAGTCGAAAATGTGTAGATTTATTGTATCAGTTTGCAAGATTATTGTATCGTTTTGGCTTATAACATTTTCTGCCTTAAATGTAGCACACACAATGATCGCGTTATGCGTTGCGCATGGCATACGAACTGTCAAAATAAAATTGATTGCATGATAATTAAATGTAGATGAACATAAAATCTATATTGTGTTGAACGTGACAGTCGTGACAGAAGTTTTGACAAACTTTTAAAATTTTTGCGTGCGTTGTTTTTGGAAAGCAAAACAATGATGAATTTTTCTGAAAGAAAAAGATCGTGTCTTTGTAGTAGTTATTTACACTTACTGAAATAACTTTACTGCAACAACAAAGAAGAAAAAATTAAATTATTTAAAATAAAATAAGATTAAGTTGCATCGGACCGCAAAAACTGGCTTGCAAAAGTGAAGAAAGATGGAGGAACAGTTAATCAGGGCGGCATATAATAGCCAAAAACTATGCAACAAACGCCTGCCAGGCTTTCGAAATAAAATGGTAAAAGAAAAAGGTTGGGAAGCCACATGGAAGAAAGTGGGCATATCCAGTGGGCATTTGTGAACAAATTCACGAATATCATAATTGCATTTCTATATTTTTCGGTGGAAAGATGGAAAGTCGCTAAATATAATTTTTGGAATGAATGCTTTACAAAATAGACATTCGACGACAGTAGGGTTTGAAAATGGAATTGCTCAAATATGTAAACAAGACAATTAAGGAACATCATACATAATTTTTTGCTTTATAAATGAAAATTTTTTGGTTATTTACATTTACCTTTTTTTATTAAAAAAAAGGATTTTTATTTAAACCTTCATGGGGCCAACGTTTAAGGTGAATTTGTATTATGCAATTTGGAATTTGGTCAAAATAATTTTTTAAAACATCGCGGAGATTAAAGGCACTTCTGGTAGCGTTATTTTTTGATGGTCTGTTTCCGTAATGTTGCTGAGTTCTGTCTACAGAATCTATCTTTTAGTTCGCCGTTCACTTGGGGGTGTCCGTATGTATTCAGGAATATCAATCCTATTATCATAACCTATATAATTAAATCTTTCCTAACCATCTGCTTTGTTTCAAACGTTTTCGTATAAAGGTCAAAGCGGAAGTAGGTGATATTAAAGATTGCTAATTACTTTTACATATTTTATTATTAAATATAGTGCGAACTTATCAGGATTGATTAAAATTGTCTTTTGCTTCCACAAACCGCTTTCCCTTTCTTGCTTCTTTCACTTTAAAAAAGCACATTTAAAGAAATTTTTCACTTTACTAATTTTGAACTTCTCCGTTAATGTTTATGCGAAACAAGCGCTAAAAATATGATTGTTTCTTAACAGCGCAGGCAAACTATGTGGCCAGACGATTTTGCGTTATACGTTAGGCAACACAATCATTGTGTAGTTCACTTTTGATGCGAAACATACATCTATGTACTTAACACCTGTTACTATTTTTTACAATCATGAATATCATAAAATTGCAGCAGCGAAAATAAAGGTTTTTTTTTATTATTTACTGTTTAGATAAAATATAAATTTTGAAAAATATTAATCTTTAATAAATATTTGGATAATGCAGGTGGGTCGTTCGTGTTTTATTAGAGAATATGAATTTTAATCGACGAAAATCTTTATGAATATTAAGTGTCTTCCGTATAAAAACATAATTTCGTTATTAAAAATAAAATGGTTCAAAAAATTCATTGTTTTTATTGCAGCTTTACGGCTTTACGATCGGTATTGCGATAGGGTTGGGTAAGTTTCCAAAATTGCATATAAAGTTTTTGAAAGATTAATTTTTGAGTTCTGTATATATATAAGTGTGCGGGTCGCATTGTTTTTATGTGCCGGGAGTGGCGCCAGTGGAGTTTATTAAGGGGCAAAAGATTGACGTTAAAGCAGTTAAAATGACTAGCAGCCGTACGCAATTGCCGTATGCCTACTATTCCTTACAATTCTGCTTGCCTAAGAATGGCACACTGGTCTTTAAGTCAGAAAACCTAGGGGAAGTATTACGTGGCGATCGAATTGTCAATACTCCATATGAAGTGCAAATGGCTGTTAATATAAATTGTAAATTGTTATGTAATAAAAAGGACAATACACCATTAAACTGGGTGCAGCCGCAGTCGGCTCTGGTAGCCAGTCGTATACGTCATGAATACTTCGTTCATCTGTAAGTTTTCTGTTTTACCGGAGCAAATAAATTGGCGATATTGTCTTATTCTACTTTCTATGACAGATTGGTGGACAATCTTCCGGTAGCTACTAGAATTGTGAATTTAAATAATCCTTCTGAAGTGACTTACGAGCACGGCTATCGTTTGGGACAAGTCGATGGAGATAATGTATACATAAATAATCACTTAAAATTTATATTGTCTTATCATATGCATACAAAGTAAGCTATAAAAGATTTTGTATTCTTAACTATTCTGAAATATCGCACTTTTACAGAGATAAATATCGCGTGGTTGGCTTTGAAGTTGAAACAGCTTCCGTTAATTATAAAGATATTAAATTCGAAAGTGATAATTGCAATTTTCCGGACAACGCACGTCCCCAATTAGTTAATCCTAAATCTAATACACAGCTGTATTTCACTTATTCGGTAGAATGGAAAGAATCTAAAGTCAGTTGGGCGTCGCGGTGGGACATTTATTTAGGGATGAAAGATGTACAAATTCATTGGTTCAGCATTATCAATTCGTTGGTTGTCGTCTTCTTTTTATCCGGTAAGGTGGTTATGAAAATGTCTTGGAAATATAACACATTATGAATCGTGCACGATCAACTCTACTATTTATCTCTATAAGGCATTCTTACTATGATTATGATACGTACTTTACGGCGTGATATTGCCCGTTATAATACCGACGATAATATTGAGGATACATTAGAAGAAACTGGATGGAAATTGGTTCACGGTGATGTTTTCCGTCCTCCTAGAAACACTCGGTTATTTTCAGCTGTCATAGGTAGCGGCATACAAATATTTTTTATGGCATTAATTACCATATGTATGCAGATATTCTATGCGTAAATGTTACTATTTATTATAAGAAAATGATTTCAGTCTTTGCTATGTTGGGTATGCTTTCACCATCTTCACGAGGCGCTCTGATGACGTCTGGCATTTTTATGTATGTGTTCATGGGCACTATAGCTGGGTATTTCGCCGCTCGGCTCTATAAGACAATGAAAGGGCGTGAATGGAAGAAATCTGCCTTCTTAACTGCTACTCTTTATCCAGGCATAGTTTTCGGGTATTGTTCGTCAAGTGAAAATCGAAATTTTCCGATTTGATGAAACGTTAATTTCAATTTCAAACTTTCGCTTTTCAGAACTGGCTTCTTTTTAAATTTTTTTATATGGGATAAACAATCTAGTGGAGCGGTTCCATTTGCAACTATGATTTCCTTACTTCTACTATGGTTCGGAATCTCAGTACCCTTAGTCTACTTGGGATACTATTTTGGTTATCGCAAACAACCTTATCAGCATCCGGTACGAACTAATATGATACCACGACAAGTGCCCACCCAACATTGGTACATGAATATTACGTTAAGGTATTAAATGACTTTGAAATTTGAATTTCAATATACGCTGATTGCCTTCACCTCTGGACTGTATATTTCAGTACTCTAATGGCAGGGATACTACCATTCGGTGCCGTATTTATTGAACTATTTTTTGTATTTACTGCTATTTGGCAAAATCAATTTTACTATTTATTTGGTTTCCTATTCCTCGTGTTTTGTATTTTAGTAGTTAGCTGCGCTCAAATTTCCATTGTTATGACGTACTTTCAATTATGCGGTGAAGTAAGTTTCGTTAAATTAAATGTATCTTGATGGATTCTAAAAAATTTTCATTTTTAAATTATAGGACTATCGTTGGTGGTGGCGCAGTTTTATTGTATCCGGCGGATCCGCTGTTTATGTTTTATTTTACAGTGTATTTTATTTTTTTACAAAGTTAGAAATTACGGAGTTTATTCCTACGCTTTTATATCTAGGATATACGGGTATGTATGTAGATATACATATTGGTCTATTTATGAAAATAATGTATGTAAATATATAAATATATAAAATATATTATATGTGTATGTATTGTCGTAATTGAGGAGTCTTAAGAAAAATTGTGGAATTGGACATTGAGATATCTAATATCAGTGGACTGTATGACTAGATAAACAAATTTTTTTCTTAAATTAGTTCTGATATACGCAATTCGATTACACATATCTTGTAAATGTAGTCAGAATATAATATTATATATACAAAGAATGCTATAATATCCACGACGATTTAATTAATTGTTATTGTTATTAAGTTTATATTTAGTTTAAATGAACGACGGTTAGTTTTACAATTTGCTTGATATAGCATTTAAGTCATTTTGTTTTGCACGTCCACGAACGGATTAAAATTAGATAAATACGTCTTTCGTGGCAATATTCAGTAATATATAATAATTGTCCTACATATATATCGTCTCATCTTGCGATATCCAGTGAAAAAAAATCACACGTTGTCCTTTTTGTCTTTGTTTAAGCAATCATTAAGATATAAAGTATTCAAATACTTATAAGGAATTTCTAATTTTCACCATTATAAACACTATTAATTGAAAACCTTTTTTGATTAATTTGCCAATTTTTTACAGGTCTTATGGTGTTAACGTTTTGGCTTTTAACAGGGACAATTGGCTTCTTTGCTGCTTATAGCTTTATACGTAAAATTTATAGTGCTGTTAAAATTGATTAATGGCTTCATAGTGTATACTTCTTACCCGCCAATCTGTTTCTTACAGATAATGGATGCTTCAAATTATTTACACTTAAAAGAGAACAAAAGAAACCTCTTATAGTAAGAGTAAAATTTATTTTAGCACTACTTTCCGAGCAAAACTTGTAAGAATATATTTCTTAATAATTTTATTGATATAACGAAACGAACAGCTTAGGGTTTGGACACAGTGGTCTTGATTGGGATTTTAAGCTTGAAAGGAAAATTCGAATGCGCTGAAAGTAATAAATGCAACTTTAAAAAAGTAATCACGCTTAAAAAGTAATCAAGCCATGTTGTGTTCAAGACCTTGAAATTGTCTTGCAAAATAAAATCAAATTTATCAAGATTGGCAATTTATGTAATAAAGTTTTTAGCAATTGTTTATCTTTATCCTTTTTCTTATAATTTTCGTTGGATATATTTTCTTAAATAGCAAGTTTTGTTCTTTTAGAATACATCTTCATAAGTTTATATGTCTTTCATAACGTTAATATAATATATCCACACTTGTTTTATTTTTTATTAAAACAACGCTTAATTATTGTAATTATAATCATCCCAAAAGTGGATATTTACTGTAATCCTCATGCTTATAAACTTTCTTACAGGAATTTTTTTTTAAATAGATGTCTAAAAACTCTACGCTGTATTTATAAGCATAACTAAATGAATACTAATTTAATTTAATTTGTTCTTTTTATTTCTGTATAAAAATTAACCTAGAATAAAGATAATTTGCTGAAAATTGTAAAATTTGAAACAAAATGATAATAGACTACATATTTTTTTCATTCCTTTAAACGTGTGCCCATATATCGCGGTATTTGTTTGCTGTAATAATGACTATACTCCGAATTTACACTACCAAGAAGTGTTAGTTGATGTCGTATCTTGGCAAACGTCTCCAGTTATATTTAAACATCTAGATAAAGCCTCCTTTGTAAAAATATTTATAGATATCCCGTCCAAAATTCTGTCTTAATTCTTTGCTCAGTTGTGTGCATGCTTGATTTAGATAGGCATTTAATTGCATGAAAAATGTATGATTATCTTGAGTGTTGCAACAACTCGTTCATTGCATGTTTTGAGTACCTGTAGAATATGATTATATATGGTTGGTTGCAGGCCAGGTAAAAGTTTTACTAAAACAAGACAGGGCCGCTTCTGAGCGTCTTGATCTTCGAAAACTTGATAGCACCATTTTACTTGCCCTTGAAAGTTCTCCATCAAATGATTGTAAAATAAAGCAACAAGCAGCTGCTGTTGTGTGATAGATTTAGCAGCCTCCAATTCCAAAGTCTGCTTCTATTGCAGAGCGGTGTTCTGCACAGCTCGATAATACTGAAGAAGTTGAGATTTTCTATGAATAGTATTATATATATATAACTTGATTATCTTGGCTTGGTTCTACACGTTTCTGTTGACATTCTTTTATACTAGCCAAAAGTCATTGCTGTTCCATACTCTGAAATGTCTGATAAAAATTTATTGACTTTGGACATTTTTTCGGGATGCGCGACTTCATTGTGTTCATTTACATTAACTTCCGTATATTCAACTTGTATAAAGCATAAGGAAAATACATTATATCAACGCCTATGACGTAGTTAAGGTTGATTGGGTGAGAAACAGAAATGTTAACAACTTTAACACACAAAACTTGAGATATACTTAACAATTTTAATTTCATAGATTTTTATAATAACCAAAGGTGGGTCTTTATATTTTTATTTTGTTTGTCTAATTTTTTGTGATAGATTTTGTTTAAATTTTCAATTATTCAATTCGAATTACTTCTTTTGCGCTTTATTTATAAAAAAAAAGTACTATGCATTGTGAACAGAGAGAGAAGAGAGTTGCAGAAAGAATAAGTGGTAGAAAAAAACGGTATCAGTTCTGTTAAATGGAATGAATTGAACCAATTCTATTAAGCGGAATGAGAATTTGCTACGTCTTTTAAGCGGAATGATGTTTCGAAAGAATTTCTTAGAGTGTTCAAAAATTTACTATTTGTAATAAATCAAGCCTGCTGTATACATTATTTTGATTTTATTAAACATACATTTTATTATTTAAACATTATTATTATTTATATTATTTAAACGTTCATGTAGAAGTTTTTCAAAATTTTGCAACTTTCGTTGAAAATTAGCTAAACATTCCAGCAGATTTAATGTGCATTATGTAGTAATTACAAGGTAAGTATAGTAGAGATTACAATTGGAGCAAAGAGAAAATTTTAACAAAGAACATTATTCATGTGTATGTTTGACATAGAAGTTGCGCAATATTCCCTTTCCTTTAATGCGAACCAAGAATATTATGTATTACTAAAATAACATATTTATAAGATAACAACGTTCACGCAACATCATATCGTAGGTAAACGAGCACTATGAAAGAGGTTGACAGAGCGAACCGCGGGCGTGTCTTTCATTAACTGTCGTTCGTCTTGAAAAAAAAGTTTTCATTTTGCATTATGTTTCATTATCGTTTCCTCTTATTTGTTTTGAAAAAAGGAATGGCAAAATAGTGGATAAGTAGATAATAGGTCATCATGGATAGCTTTGTTAGATATAGACCATGGTGCTTTAGCGATTGAGTTGCTTTCAATAAATGGTAGTGTTTTCAATGAAGATGAACAAAAAGAATAAGAAATTAGTCACATGTGAATAATTTTCTGTTAAATGTACCAAATTAACTTCAATTGTAACTTAGATAGAGGCGTATGCTTCTTATGTTTAACTGTGCTTTCTTAGCTTTTATATGAGTCTAATCATTTTTTGGAATGTCTCAATTGTTAAGGGATACATTTTGACAGTTTCCTCTAAATGGCACGTGTGTAGATATTTCCGTGTTAGCTTTTTCTATTTTCTATTTTTCTAACCATGTTCTATTTCATGAAGTTCCCTTTGCAGCTGATTTGAGGCATTGTTGGGATCTGTGCTTGTAGCTAGTATTGCAGTATCTGCTTAAGTTGCCTCTAAAACATTGCTTGCGACAAATATGTCAGATGTAAAAATTATGTACAAGATTGGTCCTAAAACATTATCTCGAGGAAAATCAGCTTGAATATTATAAATTTCTGAAAATTCTTTATTATACCCATCACCGAAGCATGAGGGGTAATGTCCGTTGTAATCATTCTCCTGGCTGCAAAAATGAACCTATCGATTTCAAATTTTGCAGAAACATTGGAAATAATTGCACGCAGGTTGGTATTGAAAATGGGCCAAATCAATCTGAGGACAACAGCATCTTGTAAACTCAGAATATCTCCATTTTTCAAAAGTAACGAAAATTTGAATTTTTGATTACTCATAAACTGCAGCAAATAAATGTACAATAATTTGGACGCATATTCTATGGTCGATGCTGTAGGTGTAGCATTGGTGCACAAAAATGGTAAAAATTGACCCGTCTACCCAATATTGTAGCGTATTAAAGTTTAATTATTTTGACGTAGAAACAAGCTTAGAACACCCCATAAAGTATTAATGAAAGTAATCAAAACTTATCTTCAAAGCTCCGAAAAAGTAGAGATACAAAATGAGGATAAAATAACTTATGACAAGTACTGATCAATTTTTAATGAACACAGGTTTGAGGTAATTCAGTATTTTAGTACCAAAAATTACCGAGCAAATTACGGAAGCAAAAAAAAAAAATTAACGACGACAATTTCACATTTACATATAAAAAAAGTTCTTCAAGGTTTATAAAAAAAAAGTTACTGTGAGGACGTTTTCGTCCTTTTCCTAGGCTGGGCAGCTCAGCGGCCCAGGGAAAAAACACAAGACACTTATAATTTTACAGGGACTCCTTATTTCAATAATTCTCTTTACGCTTAAATTCAACTCTCTATCTCGGGGACAAAACCGCGACCTCTTGTGTCGACGTCTCAATCTCGACTCTCTAACTACCACTAAAAACTAACTAAAGTTACTTTATTCTATTCTTAATCTATTACTATCCTATCTTAATCTATGCTTAATCTACATTAGTATACTCCTACCCTATTCTTACCCTATAGCTATCCTATTCTTACGCTACCGTATTTCCTAGCATTCCTCTAAATAAATGGTCTTTTAAGTACACAACATAGATATACTTGAATTTAGCAAAGTAAATAATTAAAGGAACAACAACGACACTTTCCAGAAAGTCCATTCAAGTCCTAATAAAAATTGTGGCTGATTGCTAACACTGTCAACAGACAAACTTATACTGGGTGCAACGTGCTTTGGTTCCGCTACCAGTCGTACGGCGTGCAAAGGCTTTCGAGAGGATTACATGGTCGGAATGCTTCAACGAAGCGCTGAACTTAATCCTCCTTGGAAAAAAGGACAACATCCTTTTCAAAATACCAAGTATGCTGAGCACGACAAAAGCAATCGCTATGCGATAATTGTCCCAAGTCCACAATAAGTTTTTCATCATGCATTAAGTAGGATTCCTTTAAGTCGAACCTCACCAAACCCAAGTGCGCAAAATTAATCAAAAATTCCAAAATGCAATTAAACACTTCAAAAACTTTATTTTGTTATAAAAAAATTTATGACTCTCTATTGTTTATATAGCTTCTTCTTGAAAGTGTCTTGTTGAACCACAGTACATAGATGAGTTCGAGGATTATGGCAATCATTGCGTTTGAATTCTTGCGGATTGTTGAGTTGTTTTTTACGATAAGTTTTTGGTGAACCACATTCGTTTGGTAATTCCACAATACGCTTACATTTATAAATTCCACTCGCTGCTCTTTACGTTCGCCCTCGTACAATACAGAGTTATTCCAATTAATGTGTTACTACCTACGTCCGTTTTTGATTGTTTTCAGCGTTTAGATAAAAAGCAAATGGTAGCTGACAGACTTTTTCCCTCTCATTTATTTGGTTCGCGCAAGTTTTTTTATTTTCGGTTCAACGAAATAAATTTTTATAAAATTATTTGTGTGAGTTGACAATGCTGCTGTCTTCATTGATGAAGACGTTAATATTCCAACCGTGCATGACAAAAGTGTTGCTGCGGTATCTCTCCAGATTAGGCCAACTTCTATGATATTGATGAATGATGTTTACTTTTAAGTAGTATCGTCTATCATTAATATACGAATTTAGAATTGGGCAAATATGTATTGAAAGTAGTTTTTTAAGTTTATAATAGAATCATTGATTAATTAATGAATTAATTATTAATAACATTGATGTCTTACATTGAACTACATTGGAAGAGTTAATAATCCGCATAAAAGAAATTTAATGACAGCCTTCGAAACAGTTGTCAATTTAAAATTGCCTACAAAACCTTATGAAACATTAAAGGATTATCAGTTGTTTGCCTACGCAAGCGATTTCAGTTGCATTGCCATAATATTTTTCATCTTATGACTAGAAGCTTTTTCTCTTTATTTATGTATGTTCTACTCTATTAAGAAATGCTAATAAAGTACAATTAATTGTTATAACAACTGCATTCCTTGTTAAAGCATCGACGTGTTCAATTTTTTGGAATATGTGTTTAAAATCCTCTTTTGGAATTCGAAATATTTGCAGAAATCAATGGCTTTGGATTTAATTTCAAATTTTTTTAATAAAATCGGTTTCTGTGTTTTTCGTCTCTATATAGCAGATGAAATTGTTTACAAATCAATGGGAGGTATAGCGAATTCGATTGATCTGTTCTTGATTCGAATTCACTATAGTGAAAATGGAGTAGTCAGAGTACC